GGATTTCAATGTGGTATGGCTTTCATTGCCCAACAGGGTCACAGTACGGAATTCTTTGTAGAAAGATTGTGTGAGCAAACAAAAAGAATGTGTTCAGTTGTCAAAAAGAAAAAAAATCTGTTTGAATGAATCGTATCTGTGTGTAGTCTATCCTAAGATAAACGTCTTTCTTTTATATAAGAAAAATCTTAGTGCCGGGAACTTGGATTGTTGTAAACTTTTGAGCTAATCCTTTCATAATATGATTAGTTTTAGTTGTAAGAAAGATCAAATATATTGGACTGTTTTTAAAGCTGCACCTCTCACTCCTAGATATTTTTTTTTTTTTTTTTATTAGCCTCCCTGTTAAAAAGACTGAATTTCAACATCATCACATGTATACATATTTACTTACCTGGACACAGATCTTTTGCTTAGCTGGATATTATTACGTATATATGCATACTCTATTCCTATTTCATTGTGTATGCATATATGCAGGACATTCCAAAAGTAATGATTCCTACTTATTTCCATGGTGACAACAACAGATACAGACAGCACAATAACATTGTTAAACAGCAAAGATTCAATTACATGACACTATTTTTTTTTCCTTGGGTCTGTAATGGACAATTGCTTGTGCATTGTACTCAGGATGTAGAATGTCACACACATCATTGTCACCATTGGCGAAATGCATTCCCTACTACCTGTGATCACATCCACTCTTTGGTCTCCATAAGTGGTCAGCAAGTGTTGATTAATGTCAGTGGGTGCCTTCTCCCTCCCCATGAAGGAATGAAATTACATGCTCTTTTATATCTGCTGCTCAAGTGCTATCTGTAGCAAGCACCCCCTCCCCATTACTAGTTATTGATGGAAACATTCAATCTCTATCGTTGTAGCATTTACATCTGCTTTTGATGCCATAGGCTAAGATAAAATAGAAGGAATTAGTTTTTTAGTAACCCACATGCAAGTACCAGTCCATAATTATTTTGCAGATACATATTTTTTATCACTTTAAATGTTATTTTTAGTGGATACTCGTATATGATAGGAAAAATTTTGAGAGATCTATGACTAGAGAAATTTTCACTTTACAATTTGGTACAATTTGGGGCTTGCCTGACTAATTGGTTCTTTGTAGCTCATTTGGTCATAGTGTATCAGATTTCATGGTAGTTTCCTCTCCCCAAAGAGATGCCAGTTCGAATCCTGCCAGAGAAAATTAATTTTTCTTAAATTTCTCAAATATTCAGGTCGGTAGTCAAAAATAAATAGATTTACTGTTAAATAAATGGAACGTCTACTCAAATACAGGTATTCACTAAAAATAATATTTAAAGTAATAAAAATTTGTCAGATTAATAAGAAATCCATTAGTTTCTCTAAAATTTAGAGATACATATATTTCTCTCTTACATATATATATAGTCAAATATAAACAAACTGATTATATTGCTATAACAAGAAGTATTACTCAACAACCGTAAGCAATGTCTAATTAGCAAGTAGGATAGACCAGGATTCTAATTTTATTGCTATTTTAATTCTAATTTTATTGCTGTTTAGTGTTGGCTGTCTTTGAATATTTTTACTATGTAATGATTTAAATAGCAGAATTGTTTCTTTAAAAGCAGCAATGATTATATGTATCCAAGATTACTAATGCAGAAAATACAACCAATGCAATTACAAAGTTATTTAAAAATTGCCATCACTTTTGATAGTACAAAAATACACACACACACACACACACACACACACTCTGAAAAGTAACTCCCTATTTTATATATGAGTGACCAGCCAGGAGTTGTGACTTTTTTTTTATTTGGGGTTGTTTAAAGGAGTAAATCTACTATACCAAACAAAGACTTTGTAAGAACAAGAAGTTATGTCTTCCATACCACAAGAGTTCCTGGTGAAATCAGTTGATGCAATTCCTGGGCGGCTCGAAATGCTGGTAGAGGAATCTGGTGCCCATATTGAATTTTAAATAAAACCTCATGCTAAATGCTTTCCTCTTATATATATTTCTTGTAAAAATTATAGTTAATAAATAAATTATAATTATTTTAAAATGGGGAGTTACTTTTTAATCACCTTGTGTGTGCGCGCGCGCGCACATATGCACACACACACACACAGTCTGTCAAAAAAAAGTATGCACACTTCAAAAAAAAGAAAAACTTGTATAGATATTGTAATAGTAAATTTATTCAGACATCATGAGACTAATGCAAGTTACCTTTTGGGGTCGACAATCACAAAAGATGCTCGAAATAGTGGCCTTTAACTTCCTGACATTTATTAGCACTACACCTTAAGCAACATTGGTCAAAAGTGTCCAGTGGAATTGCTCCACATGCATTTTCAATTTCTTGGTTGGTTTTCTGCAAAGCAAAACATCCTTTAGGGTCTGCTATAGCTAAAAGTCTGCCTGTGTTAAATTGGCAAAATATTGTACTACAGTAAACAGTGTTATTGCAATTGGATAAAACTACAAAAGACAACATTTTCTTTTTCTAAAGTGTGTATACATTTTTTTTTTTTTTTTTTTGCCAAACTCTGTATATATCCTAATATTTAAGACACCATCAACCCAGGTAAAAAACGAAACAAGAAATAAATAAAAACAGAATGTACCTATATTTCCCAGATAGTCCTAACTTAAGAAAACCCTAGAACATTTGAGAAAATAAATTGCCCTAAAAAATGTACTGTCTGTTATAAAGGAAATGACATTGTTACATTATCATTGGCACTCAGAGGAGAAAGAAAAGAAATAGAGAAAGAGAGTATAAGGTGAGAAGATGAAAAAGAGAAATAATGGCAACATTGGACACACGTGTGTACACAAGAAGAAAAGAAAAATCAACCTAACACCTAATAAGAGCATCCCAACAATAATACAAATTACATCGAACTTTAATATAGAAATAATGAAAAAGGGGCAGTCAATTGCTGAAACCGCCTGATGAGTGGACTAAACAATTAGAAAAATAGTTTCTCTACAAAATTTGGAGTCAAGGTGCTGAATATAACATCAAGTAACAAATTTTATTTGTACTAATCCTATCATTCGTACACACACACACATATATATATATATATATATATATATATATATATATATATATATATAATGAGTTTTGTTTATAGCCTTTTGCAGATTATTTAAATCCAGAAAATATTTTTAGATTGTAATAATTTTGGAGAGGTAATAATGATTTGCTTAACTTATATCTAGTGGGATGAATTCCAACCTTTCCTAAGGGTATTTGCATGTAAGAGAATATGATGAACCCAACTGGAATTGGAACTCAGCTTTTCAAACCTCAATTTCCAGGCTGTTATACTAGCTGCACATACAAGCTTACAGCACTTGGTATTCCCAAGTGTTGACCCATCTGGGTACTGAGCAGATTTGATGTTAAGCAACATCAAATCTGGTCAGTACCTAAATAGGTCTCTCTCATATATATATATATATATATATATATATATATATATATATATATATATATAATGCTTTGAATAGCCTGAAAGGAAGGTTGCAGTGAATTGGTCTTGTTGTTTTCACATGTGGTGTGCTTCACTTTCTTATTTTACCATTCCACTGTTGATAGACTCTCTTCAAAAACATGTAATGACCTGACTACTTGTTTCTCCAGTCTTTGAAAATTGAAGCTTGTCTGCTTTGTGCATACATATGAAGATAAACATCCTTGGATGAACTGAAAATTATTTTCCATTCAGAATTGCTTTACACTCTTTTTAGTTGAATAAGATTTCATTAGGTTTTTTCTCTCCTTTTCTTTCTTTTTTTTTTTTTTTTTTTTTAATTGTAAAAATAACAGGAAAGTTTGGTGATCGTACAAGAATTGGTGTTTCAACATTGTGGCTATAAGCTATATGACAATAGGAAAACTAGTAATTGCTAATACATTTCGTCCAATGTGGACTTTATCAAAGCAAAATCCCAAAAAGTCCACATTGACTGAAACTCGTCAGCAATTACTAGTTTTCCTATTGTCATAAATATTGTCTTCTCTACTGGTTAAATCGGAGAAATTTTCATATATATATATATATTTTAGTTCTTGGGACCAAGAATATTAGTCTGGTTTGACTGGTTAGGTTTTCATGAATGCCCCACGAAAGATACAAAATTTTTAATTCAAATTCTATCACGTTTAATTTAAATGCAACTAATTTCTTAAGTTTATTCTCAGTAATAGTGGTGGGTTTTTTTTAATAAACACACACACACAAACACACAGATTAAGTTCTTCTTTTTACACTGACAAGTGAAACTAAAATGTAATTTAGTTATTTGTCTTATTTAGTTCTAAACGTGGAAAACATTGGCGTTGAATTGTCAAAATCGGTTTTGCTTTCATAAATAAAGCGAGAAAATTATATTTTCTCATGTCAGTTTTTGCTTAAAAACAAAAAAATCTTGAATGAACCATGAACAAACACAGAAAATTTAATTACAACATGAGGCAGGCAATTGTAAATGAAAAATTTCCTTGGGAATAGTTGAAATGTACTAATATTAGTTAGAACGAAAAAAAATTCACATGGAATGACTAAAATATATAAGACTGGCAGGATTTGTTTGTTCAATATAAATTTATTCAAGTTGAGAAAGTATTAGCTCTGAACCACCAACATACTCACTCTAAACTGAAATTTTATCTCTCTTATAATACTTTTGTTCACATTATTATAATCACATTATTCATTATTTTATAGAATTCTGAAGTGTCTCTATGGACTCTTTCTATTAGTTTCAGCTTTTTAGTCATTTGTTTTTAGCTATTTTCACTTGGGCAAATTTTACTATAAATCCTATATAACTTTGCCTTCTTCTTCAGCCACATCTGATGATACTGTATTTCTCTTCTTAAAGGTTGTTGTGCTTTTCAAATAAATGTGTTAATTTCAATTCATTTTCCTTGATTCCATACACCTGTTTTGACTGACATTTTTTTTTCTCTCCTTTCAAGCTACGGCCATTATGTAGACCGGAACGTATCAAACTACCCTCATCACATATCATATGCTCCAGTGTCCGCCCAGGACAGTGAGCTGCATAGTCTGTCCAGTGAAGCAACTACTGACGACACTGTATCAGTGACCGACAGCAGTCTGTAAGTAAACACTTGTTGAGACTCTTCAGTCTGAATTTTTGGATGAGATAAAATTCTCTACCCACCTTCTCTCTTCACCTTCTCTCTCCTTTATTCACATTTTTTTTTATTTAAAAAAAAAATGTTTGAAGAATATTCTTTAAATAACATGTGGATGCTTTAATTTAATAGAATGTCTATTATTATTATTATTATTATTATTATTCAAGATTTCTTGATATTACAGTCATGAATCTGATTGCTTGGAAACCTTATGATGTCATTTAAATTATTACGCTCCACATTTTTCTTGCCTTTCATTCTTCTACTCATTTTTTAATTTTCTGTTAATTCCACCATCTTTCTTTTTATTGTATCTTTGGTACTCCCCTCCCTTTTTACCATAATTTCAGCACTCTTGTGCTGTCTTTTTGTCCCATGTTGCATATCTGACACACTCTTCTCCCTTCTTGTGATTTTATTTTGCTTAGCAAAATAAAATTATGGAATGTCTATCTTGTACAGATTTGGGATACATGGATGGTGGTGTGGTTTCTTTTCTATTCATGCTGTTGCTGCTTGTCATATTATTGATGACCTTTTACTATCATGATTTTCCTTAAGAAATAAGGCTTTTGTGTATATGAACCTGATGAAGGCTGAAGAATGGATCAGCCAAAATATGTAGACAATCACAAAAACACTAAGAATTTCAGTTCGTTTTCATATTATTTCCTATATTTACATTCAAACTCTTGTCCTAATTTGTGTTATTGCATTTCAGCCGTTGTACCTTTGGACTGCATCTCTCTCCCCCTGTGACTCTCTCTCTCGTGTCTCTCTCTCTCGTCTCTCTCTCGTCTCTCTCTCTCGTGTCTCTCTCGTCTGTCTCTCTCTCTCGTGTCTCTCTCTCTCGTCTCTCTCTCTCGTGTCTCTCTCGTCTGTCTCTCTCTCTCGTGTCTCTCTCGTCTGTCTCTCTCTCTCGTGTCTCTCTCTCGTGTCTCTCTCTTTCTCTCTCTCGTGTCTCTCTCTTTCTCTCTCTCGTGTCTCTCTCTTTCTCTCTCTCGTGTCTCTCTCTTTCTCTCTCTCGTGTCTCTCTCTTTCTCTCTCTCGTGTCTCTCTCTTTCTCTCTCTCGTGTCTCTCTCTTTCTCTCTCTCGTGTCTCTCTCTTTCTCTCTCTCGTGTCTCTCTCTTTCTCTCTCTCGTGTCTCTCTCTTTCTCTCTCTCGTGTCTCTCTCTTTCTTGTCTCTCTCGTGTCTCTCTCTTTCTTGTCTCTCTCGTGTCTCTCTCTTTCTTGTCTCTCTAAGTGTCTCTCTTTCTTGTCTCTCTCGTGTCTCTCTTTCTTGTCTCTCTCGTGTCTCTCTTTCTTGTCTCTCTCGTGTCTCTCTTTCTTGTCTCTCTCGTGTCTCTCTTTCTTGTCTCTCTCGTGTCTCTCTTTCTTGTCTCTCTCGTGTCTCTCTTTCTTGTCTCTCGTGTCTCTCTTTCTTGTCTCTCTCGTGTCTCTCTTTCTTGTCTCTCGTGTCTCTCTTTCTTGTCTCTCTCGTGTCTCTCTTTCTTGTCTCTCTCGTCTCTCTTTCTTGTCTCTCTCTGTCTCTCTTTCTTGTCTCTCTCGTGTCTCTCTTTCTTGTCTCTCGTGTCTCTCTCTTCTTGTCTCTCTAATGTCTCTCTTTCTTGTCTCTCTCGTGTCTCTCTTTTCTTGTCTCTCTCGTGTCTCTCTTTCTTGTCTCTCTAAGTCTCTCTTTCTTGTCTCTCTCGTGTCTCTCTTTCTTGTCTCTCTTTCTCTCTCTCTCTCTCTTGTCTCTCTTTCTCTCTCTCTCTTGTCTCTCTTTCTCTCTCTCTCTCTTGTCTCTCTTTCTCTCTCTCTCTCTTGTCTCTCTTTCTCTCTCTCTCTCTTGTCTCTCTTTCTCTCTTGTCTCTCTTTCTCTCTTGTCTCTCTCTCTCTTGTCTCTCTTTCTCTCTTGTCTCTCTTTCTCTCTTGTCTCTCTTTCTCTCTTGTCTCTCTTTCTCTCTTGTCTCTCTTTCTCTCTTGTCTCTCTTTCTCTCTTGTCTCTCTTGTCTCTCTTGTCTCTCTTGTCTCTTTTCTCTCTTGTCTCTCTTTTCTCTCTTGTCTCTCTTGTCTCTCTCTCTCTCTCTCTTGTCTCTCTCTCTCTTGTCTCTCTCTCTCTCTTGTCTCTCTCTCTCTCTTCTCTCTCTCTCTCTCTCTTCTCTCTCTTTCTCTTGTCTCTTTTCTCTCTTGTCTCTTTCTCTTGTCTCTCTTTCTCTCTTGTCTCTTTTCTCTTGTCTCTCTTTTCTCTCTTCTCTTGTCTCTCTTTCTCTCTTGTCTCTCTTCTCTCTTGTCTCTCTTTCTCTCTTGTCTCTCTTTCTCTCTTGTCTCTCTTTCTCTCTTGTCTCTCTTTCTCTCTTGTCTCTCTCTCTCTCTTGTCTCTCTCTCTCTCTTGTCTCTCTCTCTCTTGTCTCTCTCTCTCTCTCTCTTGTCTCTCTCTCTCTCTTGTCTCTCTCTCTCTCTTGTCTCTCTCTCTCTCTTGTCTCTCTCTCTCTCTCTTGTCTCTCTCTCTCTCTCTCTCTGTCTCTCTCTCTCTCTCTTGTCTCTCTCTCTCTCTCTTGTCTCTCTCTCTCTCTCTCTTGTCTCTCTCTCTCTCTCTTGTCTCTCTCTCTCTCTCTCTTGTCTCTCTCTCTCTCTCTCTTGTCTCTCTCTCTCTTGTCTCCCATGCTTTGAATAGCCTGAATGAAGGTTGCAGTGAAGTGGCTTTGGTCTTGGTCTTGTTGTTGTTTTCACATGTGGTGTGCTTCACTTTCTTATTTTACCATTCCACTGTTGATAGACTCTCTTCAAAAACATGTAATGACCTGACTACTTGTTTCTCCAGTCTTTGAAAATTGAAGCTTGTCTTTGTGCATACATATGAAGATAAACATCCTTGGATGAACTGAAAAATATTTTCCATTCAGAATTGCTTTACACTCTTTTTTAGTAGAATAAGATTTAATTAGGTTGTTTTTTTTTTTTGTTTTTTTTTATTGTAAAATGACAACAGGAAAGTTTTGCACCTGTTAGAATATTTGTATGCACTTAGTAAATGATATACATCTATTTATATTTGAAAGGGTCTCTTTGCTATACAATCAGTTTCATGTAAAGAAATTTACAGAAATTTTCAGATGAATATTTTAAGAAAATAAATAAAAATAAATTTGTTATTCAAAGGGAAAAAAGGTTTTATCTTTTCTATTTTTTTTTTTTTTTTTTTTTTTTTTTTATGTGAAAAATTATTTCATAATAAAGATTACAATTTGTAAGTGTTTGAAAGACTGTAATTTCTTTTATTCTTAAGGTTTGCTCAAGAATAATACTAGTGTTTAGTAAAATGTATTTTGAATATTTTTCACCTGAAGATATATTGTCTTCTCTTTATAGTATTTTTCATTGAAATGTATATTTTTTTCCTTTTTGATGCCTCACTGTTCAGACTAAAATGTTAAGTTGCTGCAGATTAACATAATGGCAATAAAAAATTTTAAAGTCATAACAAACATTGTAAAATAGACTTTTTTTTTTTTTTCTTTTTTTTTATTAAATGAAAGAACAAAATATGAGAAATGAAAGGCTCCTTCCTTTCGGGACTCACACTCACATAAGTGTGAATATAAACTAAATAAGTTATTAGCAACTGTATATGTGTGCAATAATGTGCATACATAGATCAGCAAATAAATATTTAATTTATGGTGCAAACAAAACGGTGCTCACTGTAGTTAAACAGAGCTATGAAGTATACATTTATAAATACACATATACCTACATTTGTAGTGCAACTTGTTTTATGATTTACCAAGTTGTCCCATTTGCCATATATGCCTGATGACTTAGGTAACCATGTTACTTTAAGTTGCACTACAAATGTGTATGTATATGTGTGTGTGTGAGATATATATATATATATATATATATACACACACACACGCATATGGATTAGAATCTGACAGAATAAGATAAGGAACAAATAGAAAACATTTATGACATTAGCAAGTTTCACTTTTATTTAAGCTTCATCAGAAAATGAAATATGGAGGGGGGGGAATAGAATTCTAGTCTTTTTTGATTTTCATTCATTGAGCAGACCTCACACATATTTATCTTGTCAAGCAGTATTCATGTATAATTCTTGCATGTTTGTGTATCACAGTTCTAATTGGTCTATGCTGGATTCAGTTGATAATGTGTGTGAGTTTGAGTCTCTAGTTGGTATTTTGATTTCTGTCTGGTAGGGTCTGTATGTTGATTGGGGAATGTTTTGTGTATCACTGAAAGAATTTAGGTTAAACTTGTTGCAGTTGTAGGAAACTGATTAGATTCTTTAAGTATCAATTTTATAAAAATTGATATAAAGTGATGTTTGGTGTATGATTATTGATGGTAAAATATTTATCAAGATTCTTTCAAAATGTTTTTCTCATCATAAATTATGTTCTTTTGTAATAGGGTGACAATTATTAAATGGAAATTCTCACCTGTTTTGTTTCTGTATGTTATGAGCGAGTTCAAAGGGATGTCCCAATGTAGATCTCTCTTATGTTCATATATGTGGACATCATGTTTCACCTGTGTAGCTTTTCTCACATTGTAGGTATTTTATCATAAATTCAGGCATCTGATATGATGTTGGACCTTTTTTTTTTTTTTTTTTTTTTTGCTATTTTCATTTTTCTTGCTAACTATATTTTTGAATGTCTTGAAGGTGCTAATAATGTTAGTGTTGGGATAACAAGTTTGTTCTCAAATTTTGTTGGTAGTGTTGGACTATGAATTCTGTGTTTTTGTTGTTAGAGGTGTCTTTGTTGTAGGAAATTTGTCTGAACATAGATAATAAGGATAACAAATTTTAAATTAATAACAAAGATTGAAAAAAGGTTTCTTTTTTTTTTATTGTGCATTTATTATGCATTTCATTTGTTTCACTTTAATATATTAAAGTTATATGAGATTATTTTTCTGAGCTTTATATATCCAAATAGAGGTAATATTATTTGCTCATTATTGGCACAAAGGAAATTAATTGTTTTACTGTCATGATCCAAGTCCTTTATGCTGTATTGACAGGTAATTCAGCTCGTGCTAAGACATTTAAGAAATTAATATTTCAAACTGCAGAGCTATTTCTGTGGAAACGTATAGTTCTGATATAGTGTCCAAATGTGTGGGAGGGGGTGCCTATTGAAATTGTATAAGATCCCATTTTTTTTTCTCTCTAAAATATCTTAAAGCTGGAATTAACTGAACAATGCTACCAGAAATAATATTCAACCAACGCCCCCCCCTTACACACACCCTACATAAAAATTTTTTTTCAAAAATGGCAGTCCCCAGATTCTGAAAGATTCTCTTGTATTATTTCTTCTGTTGAGTATTTTTCCTTTTTATACAGATCAAGAGAGAGACAAAAACAAACCCTTTGCCACTGCACCAACACACACACACACACACACACACACACTTTTTACTCCTTTCCCTCAGTCTCATGATGCGCACATGCTCTTTTTCTCTCTCTGATGTGCATGTGGTTCTCTCTCACGGATGCCCTACCTTTGCCAATCTGAAGAAATCAAACAGGTGTTCTTATTACTCTAATTGTAATGTCTGTGAATTTAAAAGTTTCTTGCAATTGTTTTGCCATTTATTTTTCATTTTTGTCAACTATTTGGATGTTTGTTGTGAAAAAGAGCCTTCCTCCTGATGGATACCCTTTTCTGTTTGTAAGCTTCAATCTTCATTGATGTTGAAGGTCATACATTTATTACCCTGTTTGTCATCACAAATAACTCTTAGCCTTTGTTGCCTCAATGGATGAAAGACTATCAGTTTAATATCTGTTGATTCTTTACTGTGTACTATACAAGAAAAGTACAATGCCTTGATAAAATTCTAGCTTATGTTCGGACCATTGAAGTGGTAAACAATTGAATTTCATGGCTTTTATTTTCGTGAGGAAATTAGTAAATTGGGTTTTGTATAAGAATAATTGCTCAAGACCTGGCATTCCACTTCTTCAGACATTTTGATATCCAATATTTTTGCTGTAATGACATTTCAGACAATCTATTCTCCAATCTGTATTGGATGAAGGGATCTTCGATTATGATACCAGAATGTCTTCACTAGTCACTGAATGCCATGTAAGTTTATCCAATGATACAGGGGAGGGGGGGGGCAATGTGATACTCCCATGTCAAGATGTAACTTTCAGAAGCTTACAAAAAAAAAAAAACCTGATGTTAGTGCATAGATATAAACTTTCACATCGAAGCTATTTGAATGTAAATGAATGTAACAAACTTGAATTCAAACTTGGTTCTCCAGCTCTTCATTCTAAGCCAATTATCCTTTTACCAGTTGCACACATCCATGAAGGCTTGAGCTGAACTGTCCACACTTCTCAGAAGAGCTGAATACAGAGAACTGGTGCAAATAATGTGCCACAAGGTTCCCAAACAGTTCTCATCAGGTTTTAAATTCAGATTTGCCCTTCACCTTGTAAGGTTGTCAACAAAGTGCCAGCCTGTTCTAAAACTTAACCTACAGCTGAGGGGAGAGAAGTGAGGGATTCATACCTTTCACAAGAGTATTTGTGCATAAATGAATATAACAATCTCTACGAAATTTGAACTGAGCTGCTATCCACTGCACAAGGTGGGTATGAGAAATACAACAAAAGCCTGTTACAATTTTACATTGAAAATGGTAAAAGGGACAAAACATGTCACGTGGGAGTTTTCCATTTTGTCATTTGATTACAGGGATTATTTTAATATCCTATATTCCATAGATATACATATATGAGTTATTCATTGAATAAAAAATCATGATCTAAAATGAGTGATTATATAGGCACACTTACAGCATTTGTTGTCTAGCTTGTTGCAATGTTAGATTTTGTTGAATTATATGAATTGATGTCTCAGTCTTCTCTCCTGTATCAAGGTGAGAGACTACCTTTATTAAACAGTCCCCTATTTTCTCTCTCTAATACATTTATGTTGGCTGTTAGAGCAGCAACAGTAGTAGTTGCAGTTTTGTTTGAAGTAGTAGGTTCAAGGGATTTTTTAGTCTAAGCGGAAATATCCTACATGCCATACAGGCCAATTTTTGTGATGCACTACTGCACATATATACATGTTTTTTGGGTTTTTTTATTTTTTGTTTTGTTTTTTATGTGAGCGTCAATCTACTTCTCGATCTTCCGCAAAATCTTTTTCCATTTCTGTTTTGTTTTTTAATCTCCCTTCTTTTCCTAAACTGACTTAATCTCTCCATCTTGCATTTTTGATCCACATTGAGCAGAGAAAGATGAAATATCTATTAGAGATATAAAAACATACTGCAGATTAACTTTGCAATGTGGTTTTTGCCCAAACACAAATGAGGTTATTGTATCAAGAGTGAGGTTTCTTCCAATGTTGGCTTTAGAGAGGCTAATTCGACAGCTAGATTGGGATTGATTTCAGGAAGTTAAAGCTTAAGAGCCATGTTTATTCCCTTTCGTTATATTTTTTAATCATCACTGGAAAGAAGCATGCATTTATTTATTCAGTTGATTCTTTTTTTTGTACGAAAGCCCCCATCAGGACATAGGTGATCATGGCTCTTCGCAATTTCCTGCTTTTTGTAGCTTTTAATAAATTGTCTTTTCATTATTTCTCCTAAACCCTGTTCTGCCATTCATTTTCTCAAGCTAGTCATCTTTTATATGTTCTTTTCTTCTTTTCCTTCAATCTGTCCTGATTTTTCCAAATCTTTCTTCTTCATTATGTGCTCCAGAAATTTCAACTGCCTCTTCCTGATGTTAATGTTATTGCTCACATGTTGAGTCCATTATATCCTCAGTATCGTTCTGTATAACCATATTTCTGTTGCTTCAAGTCCAGCATTCACTATCATATAGAAGTACAAATATCATGTAACAGTTCAGTACTCCTTTCTTTGTTTCTAACAATGATTTTCTGTCTCTTAATACTTTGCTTAGGTTTTGTAATGCATCTTTAACTATCCCAATATGTCTTTGGATCTCGGTGTTGTACTATCTATTTTCTGTTAGGACACTTCCCAATATTTAAATTTTCGTACTTGCTGCATTTTTCTATCTCCAATTTTTTGGGTTCATCCTTTTCCTAACAATCATGCATTCTGTCTTGCAGTTTGAAACTATTTGAGGCTAGTGTTTTATAGGTTGATGTAATAGAATGTAGAGTGGATGGCAGCCAGTGTAGGAGAAGGGCATAGTAGTAGTAGTAGTAATAAAATGATGTGGGTGGAGAAATAGATAATGAGAAACATTAAGCCCTATATAAGTAAGCTGCTGAATTTATATTTGCTGACTCTGTGTGTATGAATAAATATACATGTTTACGTATTGGGTACATTCAAATAGGTACCTCTACAAAATTGCTAAAAAATTAGCATACTGTGATGGAAAAAATGCTCCAAATTTAATGAAAACAAAGTTTTGTTGTCAAAATTTTTGTTATTTTTAAGAGGAAAGATCAAAGTATTTTTTGATTATTTAATTAAATTTTTTAGTTTTTTGAGAAAATTCAAAATTTTGATTAAAAATCTTGTTTTTCTTGCATTGGCTGATGTACTATAAATTAGCATAGTAAATTTTACCATCATTTTTATGGTGAAAGACGCAACAATTTGGAAATTCTTGCAAAAATCAAATAATTAGCATATTTTAATGAAATTTTCAGGACTTATTCACACGTGAATGAAATTATTTTACAAATGTTTATTAGAAAATCTTGGTAAAAAAAACTTTTTTTCTTTATATGTGTTACACTCCACTTTGTTAATTTAAGAAATTCAGTGAGATAATGTTTTAGTGGCTGTATTAGTTAAAAACAAAACTCTTGGAGAATTTAAATTATATTTCTTTTCTCCTTTTTTTTTTTTTTTTTTTTTTTTTTTGTAAAATTGGACCATGCCTTACTGAAAATCTGCTGAGTCATAAAATAAAAAATGCAATAAAACTATGACCCTGAATATTTTTAAGAGTTTTGAATTGTTATACAAGACATTATCAGAAAATAAGACCGATAACTATTATTAAACATTAAGAGCCAAAGTTCTCTAAAAATTCAATAAAGCATTATATTATGGAGAATATTTTCTTAAATTTTTAAGTTTACTGAGTTCTTCAAAGGTGCTCATGTTATATTCTTCATTTTTTTTTTTTTTTTTTTACGGTTATATCATCAGGCATAAAATTTCTAAGTTATGAAAACCTTTGTTACTGATGGTGCACCTTAAAATGTGTAAAAGAAATCGTTCTGCACACTTTGTAGATGAATGCACTGTATGGTTAACACTGCAACTGTGTTAAACTGTAGACATTTCCAATTTCTTGTTAGCCATCTTGTCCAACCTAATGGCACTGTCATTGGAAACAAGCATTTTCTCTACTCTACTTGTAGCTGACAGTTAAATAAGAACTTTATTCTAAATTTCAGTTTGTATTTTTCACATTTTGAAAAGTGATCTTGCTCTTTTGCAGTACATCTAATTTAATCTTGGTTTTCACCAATATGCCAAAGTAGGAAACCATGAATTATGACTTATAGTTTTAACAATAAGCAACAAACAGAAATTCTTGACATTACCCAGCAAAAGATAACTTGGCTAATGTTAGACATTGCACTCCAGCAAAGGAGATTTTGACATAATTCACTTCATCTGTATGCCAAATTTCATAGTAAGGACATCTATCTTATAGACAATGAGTGGGCTGTCATTGACTAGGCACCAAGAGACCAGGCCAGATGACTGTGCCAATTGAAGGCAAGGTAGAGTAAGAAGTTTACTGCCAATTATAAACATCCGTGGGAAATCACTTTCAGGAACGAGAAAATTATGATGATAACGATATATAATAACTTAATAGGTTTGAAGAAAGATATCTGATGAAAAAAAAAAAGATCTCACTCACTCACACACACGCACACATAGTGTTATAGTTAGTAAGTGCTTCAAAATACAATTACTGCTCTGAAAAGTATTTTTGGTCTGCAAACCCATTTGATCAGACATTGGAATTCTCAATGTTTTTTATTTTTTTTTATAATCCCTTTTTGGTCTGTCTTCATGACTTTACAGATAAATTGGTTGATATAAAAGAAAGGAACCCCTCTCCAAGTCCAGTCCCACCCCACCCTATAAAAAAAAATGTTTGGCTTTCATATTTACATAATCTAATGTTCTTAGATAAACTGATGGCCTTTGCCTGGCTCCCTCTCTCATTTTGAGTTTTTTCCAAATTCTTGGCTTCTTTCCTTTCACTTTTAGCAATTATACTTTCTTGCTTGATGTAGTGACTCTGTTTTAACCCTTCTCAGTTTTGACATTTTTTTCTGGTTTTGGGTAATTAACAAATTCTATGGAGTCTTGTAAATTAAGTGAATTGTTTTTGCTGTTTGATCAAAAAGATATTTGATGGCAATTGCGGTGAACACGATACTCTAAGTTTGCTTTTAAGACTAAAAAGAAAAAATGTAATATCTAGTGGATGAATTTTAATGTTATAAATTTCTTTTTTTTTTTTCTTTTTTTTTTAATAAAAGAGTGGAGTGCATCAAATGAAAGTTTTGATGCATGTGTTTAATAAATTCCATGATATCATCTCTTATATAAACAGCTAGTTTTATAAAAATGATGACATTTTGTGATAACTTTTTTTTTTCTTCCACAAGCCAATAAGCTTCATTTTCTTGCTATAAGAGCAGAGCACTTTATAAGATGTTCTTCTTTCTATGAGGGCAGCAGAAGGTCAAAACTTCTACCTGAATTTTCTCATAAAAGATAGGTACAAATGAAAAATGCTGATCATATATATAAATCATATGTTGATGTGTTATAGAAATGTTGGCAGATTTAGTAATTGCTATATTGTTTATGTAATTGTTGGAGTGAATGAAATTTCGATGATTTGAACAGAAGAAACGAGAATATTATCTTGAAGAGCTCTCATTTCCTCTTGTTTCTGTTTTCTCCTCGCTTCAATTTTGCTTAATGAATCCAATTCAATGTTGGCAAAGTCATTAACAAACATGGAAGAAATATTCGTTCTGATTCAAAAACCTATAGGCAGGGGTGTGTGTGTTTGTTATTATTATGGTACTTGCTAAATATTTTTTCTTCTATTTTTTTTAACTTTGCTATTCTCATTTCTCATACACAAACTCACTTTGGCTCTATGTTATACTCTGTTTTGCTCTCTCTCTCTCTCTCACATTTCCTTTCTTCTGTTTTTTTTCTCTTTCTCTGTCTTGCAGTTTCTCTCTCTCTCTTTCTCTCTCTCTCTTTCTCTCTCTCTCTCTCTCTCTCTCTCTCTTTCTCTCTCTCTCTCTTTCTCTCTCTCCTTTGTCACAAGTCCTCTACTTTATCTCAACTGTTATCTTTCTCATATTTGTTTTGGAGTGACCTTCAGCATTTTGAAATTGTCAACAATTTAGTTTTAAATACTCACTACATGCACATCCCACTGACATTACCTTCTTGCATCTATGGGACAGGCTCAAAAACCAAAAGGAATATAAAGAGAGGTTGTCTTCTTTCATTATTGTGTGTGTGTGTGCGCACATACACCAATGACTAGATATTTTGAGAAAGAAAAAAGACACTTGCAAAATTAAATGACATGCTAAATTGGCCACACACTGTACATGTACTAATGTTTTCAGTCTTTCTCATTTCTTCTTGTATGTGGTCTATACTTTTGAAACTTCTGCATTTCCAGTTTTTTCTTCTCTTTTACAAATTTAATTTCTCTAAATGACTCTCTCTCACTCCTCTGTTCTTGACCTCTCTTTTCTTCATTTTGTTCTGCAGCAACCTTGCTCAAGGCCTCCTGTTTAAACTTGATTTAGTTCTTGAGAGTGAGAGAAAAAAAATGCATTCTAGACAGATTTTCTCCCTCTTCACTTGCTTGTTTGCTTCCATGCAAGCACGTGCAATGTTTGCTCTCCTCATGTGTGCGCACACACAGACAAGCACACCCACTCCAAAAAAAACTCTTGGGGACAAACATAAAGAAATGCTCACTCTTTCTCTTTGGTGCGCGCACACACACACACACACATGTTTAAAGTGGTCATCTTTCTTGAAAATGTATTCTTTGATGCATGCTTAAGGAGGAAACCTATCTTAATATCTGAGCAAGATTTTGAATGAATGTGACACACGCGCACAGACACATGGTATAACAATTTCGCATATTGAAAAGCATTTTCTTAGCTACGCTTCTCATGAAATATACATATTATACACCCTTGCAGGTAAGCATACTAAACAGAGAAAGTAGCAGAAAGGAAAGGTGTAAGAGAGGAAAAAGTGTATGGACATGAACAGGCAAGAGAGCAAGTGTATACGTGTTCCAGCAATAAAATGAAAAAGCATAAGTGAGACTAGGTTTTAAAAAAGTGTGTGTGTGTATATAAAATCACTTTTTTTTTTTTTTTTTTTTTTTCCTGCAAATACACTTCCAGGCAAACATTAAGTGGTCAGCTCTCTCTCTTTTTTTTTCTCTCATTTTCTCAGATTCTCGCTTTTGCACATACACACACACTCTTGATTTAATGCACACACACACGCTTTTGCACACACTTTTGCTTTCGTAGTGTGCTCTCACACACACACACACACATGCACTCACGCTCTCTATCTCTCTCTCTTTGCACACACACACACACGTTCTCTCTCTATCTCTTGCACACTGGTAAAAAGAATGCTTGTGAGATAGACGTTTAGGTAAACAGGAAAAGATTTTCTCGTCTTATACTTATAACCTGTCTGAAAGAAGGCTTTTGCATAAGTGTCCATGTGGTCTCATTATGGATTATATCGAAATAGATACATAGACAAGCTTACTATCAGACAGGCATATACAATCTCCTCTTTCGGTTTTTTTTTTTTCCTCTACATTTTCTCCCTCCCTTCATTGCACTCTCCTCTCTGGATGGATATATATATATATATATATATATATATATATATAATATGAAAGGAGAGGCAAAAGACCTCTCTCTCTCTCTCTCTCACATTTACATAGCCGACTAGAAGAGTAACTAGTTGAACACCACCGTCACTGACACCATTTAAGTAAGGCTTTAAGGCAGCAGCAGCAGCAGCCTACTGCTACCTTTTGATCAGTGTGCTGGAACCGTTTACAAACTATCATCTGAGCCTGCACTCCATGCATTGCTAATGTAGGTTCCTTTATAGTCTGTTTATGCTGGTTGCTTCAAAGGGAAATAACTGCTTTTCACAAAGGGAAGAAGAGATTAGAGTATAAGAAAAAAAAAATTGGCTCTGCTCACTCAAGTATGACCAGTGTGTTTATATCTGAAACTGCCAGCGATGCTAATGACAGTCCTTTAAGTAAGTGTCCTTTGTTCTAAAGTGTTCAGAAAATATATATTCATGGCCTGTTGGCTAGCTATTTTGCTATCCTCTCAAGGTCAGCACTGCCTGCTACAAATCCACTCATCTTTATTCTATTTAAATCAGAAATTACTTATATATACATAAAGATATAAAATATCTGTATTTTTTCATTTCTACATACATTTTATATATATATATATATCTCATTTTTATGAGTAAAATCTCTGTATACATAAAATTGTAAGAGATATGTGTGTGTGTGAACACAGACACTGAAAAGTTCTCAGCCCATCCAAGATAAGAGTACAAAAAAAAAATTGTCAGGATTTGGAATTAGGACAAACTGAGAAGTTTTCAAAATTCTTAGTTTTGTGTGTACATATATATGAAATGTGGGATAGTGGTGAAAAGTTACTGGCCCAACCATTTTCCCTAAATGTGATCAAATATTCAAACATGAGAAGTTGAGGTTGCTTCTTGGTCTGGCTGAGAACTTTTAAGCTCACCCTTGAATAGTTTTGTTGTT